CCCCCAAATAGGTACTTCTCTCTTCAATCCACGCATCCTCTCGGCTTCGACGACTCTGTACGGTTGGAGATCGAGTCCAACATCTGCAGGGAAGGCGGCCCCCTCCCCAACTGCTTCACCACTCCACTGCGACAGGCCTGGACCACCATGGAGAAGGTGAGGATGGAGGGCCCCTCGAATGGGGAAGCGGTGGGGGGGGAGAGGGGCTGAAATAGTCAAACGGGACTTTGAGGGATCTGGGTAAGGAGATGGAGCAGGGCTCGGCTACGGGGAGAACGACAGCGGCTGCTTGACAGGGACGGGGATGACTTGTTTTTTTTAATCGCAAGGGTTTCTCAAGCTCAGTGTCTTTTTAGATGGGTGGACTCCAACTCCCAGAATCCCCCAACCAGCAGGGTTTAAGAGGGATGGACTTCCACTCCCAGAATCCCCCAGCCAGGATGCTTTAAGAGGGGAGGACTTCCACTCCCAGAATCCCCCATTACTATGACTTAAAGCATAATGGCTGAGGAATTCTGGGAGTTGAAGTCCCTCTGTCTTAAAATGGTGGAGGTTGAGAAACTCCCCTTTACGTCAGGTGAGGTGTATCTGTCGCCACTGGCAGAGAAAGAATTTTTCTCTCACCTGTTCCCCAAGATTGTGTTTAAGCAGATGTTGCAAAGGTTGCTTTCAGGACACCCACCCACCCACCCCACTTCTAGCACTGATGATGTTACTTAGCTGGGTCATGAAACGTCTGCAAGAAAACCACCCAGCTCAGAGAGCACCGAGGACCCCACAGTCCTCCTCCTCTTTCTCCTCCTCCGCTCCATTCCTCGCCCTCTTCTCCTCCCCTTATGCTCTGCAAACCTCAGTCCCTTCTAGCACTGATGAGGTTACGTAGCTGGGTCATGAAACGTCTCCAAAGGAACAACCCAGCACAGAAAGCACCGAGGACGCCACACCCAGCTCTGAGCTACTGACCTTCCTCTTCTAAGCATGTGGCTAGTCCTCATTTCCAACCCTCCCTGTTCTCTCCCAATGTTGCAGGTTTTCTTACCCAGCTTCCTGTCCAGCAACCTTTATTACAAATACTTGAACGACCTCATCCATTCGGTCCGGGGAGATGAGTTTGCCGGCGGGGGTCTCGCCCTCCACGTTCACGGTCTTGGCAACTTGTCCGACCACTATTCCCACACGGGTGCTGCGGACAGCAGGGCTGCTTCTCAGGTGCTCCATTGATTACTTCTTGGTCTCCTTTCCACCTCCAAATCCCCCACTAAACCCTTATGTCTTCCGACGGGGTCTTTTTTTTTTTCTTTTCCTGCCTCTTTAGTAGCTCCGATGACTAATTTGCAAGGCCCCTCGGGTCTTTAGTCAGCGAAGTCAATGAATTGTGAGAAAATACAGCCTGGAAACCCGAGGGTGACAGTGAAAATTAGAAACTAGAAGGATGCTTTTTTCAGGGTCAAACAGACTTCTCCGGCATGGCGCCTCAGGGAACGTTGTTTTTCTGTCGTTCGGGGAGGGGGTTGCGTAGGTGGCATTCATCCAGTTCCGGAGAACCGGTAGCGGAAACTTCGAGTAGTTCGGAGAACCGGCCAGTCCCACCTCTGACTGGGCCCCGCCAACCCCATCTCTTCTCTGCCTCCCGTCGAGTCCCAGCTGATAGGCTGGGCCTCGTTTGGTTGCCCTGCCCAGGAGAACGGAGCTGGAAAGCAGGCTAGTGAGGGAATGGGGAATATTGCAATATCTTTTCCTTGCCATGCCCACCAAGCCACGCCACAGAACCGGTAGTAAAAAGAAATTGAATCCTACCACTGGAGCAAAGATAGAGGGGTGTGTTGTGTATGTGTGAGAGAGAGAAAGAGAGAGAGAGAGGGAGGGAGAGAGAGAGAGAGAGAGAGAGAAGGAGGGAGAGAGAGAGAGAGACCTTATTAATTGATTAACAGAGTTGGAAGGGACCTTGCAGGTCATCTAGTCCAACCCCCCTCTGCCCAAGCAAGAGACCATACACCATTTCTGACCGAGGGCAGTCCAGTCTCTTCTTGAAAGCCTCCGGTGATGGAAGCTCCCACAACTTCTGAAGGCAACTTCCGTTCCACGTCTGAATTCCTCCGAGAGGAGAGGCTCCTGCTTGGGCAAGTGGGTGGGTGGGCTAGATGACCTACAAGGTAAAGATCTGGCTAGTGTGGGGGGGGCGGGACTACCAAAACAGCAAAGCGCAGAACAGGAAGTGGCATCGAGCCATCGACAGGAAGACACCTCGGCACGGGGCGCTTCAGGAGGCGTGCCATCGCGCCCCGTCTGCAGCCTTCTGCAACAATGCCCGTCAACCCTTTAGCCGGGTTGATAGTTGGCCAAAATCTAAGTGTGCCTTGGAAGTGTCACTGGCCAGCAAAAACAAATTAAAAAAAATAAAAAGCAGGCCACCAACACCATAGGCTACTCGAGGCAGATGGCGAGTCTTGAGGCTCAATTTAGAGCAGAGAAGTGAAGCTGGCGGGGAAAAAAATATCTTTTATTTTTATACGATACATTTGGGCATTTAAGGCAGGGAAGGGGGCATTTAAACATTTAACTTTGGCAACTTTAAGACTTGGGGACTTCCAACTCCCAGAATTCCCCCAGCCAGTATGAATTCCAGATAGATGGAGGGATGGAATGGAGAGAGAAATATTAGATAGATTAACGGGAGAGAGATTAGACAGAATAGTTGATAGCAACAACACTTAGACCTACATACCACTTCACCGTGTTTTTCAGCCCTTCTCTAAGCCGTCCTCGTTTTATTGGTCTCGGAAGGGCGGAAGGCTTAATCCGTCTTGAGCCTGGTGGGATTTGCAGGCAGCCGGTAGTCAGCAGAAGCGGCCTGCAGTACTGCACCCTAACCTCTGCACCACCTTGATGATAGAAAGGTTAGCTAGACAGGAAGAGAAAGAGAGCCATCAGACAGATATAGCTAGATGATGGATAGAGAGAGAGAGATAAATAGATATAGGCAGACACTCCTTCGATGAAAAGTTTAATCCAGATTACAGTTCTATGAAGTTCTTTTTTCTTTCTTCCCCTTCCTCTTCTCGTTCTCCTCCGGATCCTACCCAAACACAGCCCAGCCATAAAAAGGCCAACGTAAAAATCCTGAAAAACTTTGATGAAGCAATAATCGTCGATGCTGCCAGCCTGGACCCAGAGTCTCTGTATCAGCGGACTTACGCTGGGTAAGGGTGGTTTGTTTGTTTGTTTTCTTATGCCGAGCTGCAGCTGGGAACGCGGGCAGGTGTTTCTCCTGCAGCCGGAAGAAGATCAGCCGAGGGTTACAGAAACCTGGGATGGGCCTGTTGGCTTTTAAAATGTCTGTCTGGTTTTAACCCAACATCCGGATGGCCCCTTCCGATTAAAGAAACGTGGAGCAGAGCTTCAGAAAGAGAAGAGAAAGCTGCTAAGAAAAGGGTTAGAAGGAAAGGTGAGAAAGAAACACAAGATTCAAGATCAGCCCGTCTTGATTTTCTTTAGGCTAAGAAGTGATGTCACGCCCCTGTCAGAGTCTGAATCCGAGGAGGAAGCCGAACAGCTGACAGGGAGCGGGAGTGTGGCTCCATTGGCTGTGGAGGAGGCTGGGGAAGGGCAAACTCCGGCTGGGCAGAGCAGGGGGAGAGGCAGAACAAGGGAGAGGGAGTTCAGAGGAAGACCCAGGCCCACCCACCCCTTCATTCTAGGGCACGCAGGGAGGAACGGAGAAGGGAGCAACGTGGGTTGCGTGGCTTACGGGGGAGGAAAGGGCCCTGATTCCCTTCATTAGCCACAGCTGGGAAGAGAGTTGATAAGAAAGGCTGGCTGCGTAGAGCCGCTGCTGGGAGCAAACGTGACTTTATCCTGTGTTGACTTAGCTTATCTGTGTTCCTGGCATCTTCCCAACCGTGTTGAGTTACTGCCGTGCCTTCAAGTCTGAAATTCTTGCTCCTGCCCTGCCAAACTAATTACTTCAGTTTGCCTTGATCGGACTTTTTTGTTGACCATGTTTTGGACTTGATTCTCTGCAGCCCAAGGCTCTTCCTGGGAGAGTTTTTCTCCAGCCCAGAAGGTAACCAGGACATTGAGGGCAAAGTTGGAGCTAATAAAGGGACTCCTATTGATTACCTAACTGGGTTGCCTTTGGGCCACGCCCCTTTGGGTCATCACAAGTGACAAATTTGTGTGTGGGAGGGAGGCTTTCAAGATTGAATTATCCTACCCTGTCACAGTATGAGTCGTCCTCAAGTTAGGGCCATTCGTTTAGCCTCCCCGTTCAAAGTCACGACAGACCTGAAAAAGGTGGCTTACGTCCGGTCCTCGTATTTACGGCTGTTCGGTTTCCACTTTCTTCAAGGGACTGGGCTCCGTAGTCTTGTTCGAGTCCCTCCTTCAGAGTTCTGTTCTATTTTCCCCACAATCGGCTTTCAGTTGCTTTTCACTTCTCGTGGGAAGGTCGGTGAACCAAGGCCGCCTTCCCTGAAATGAAATGAGAGAGAACAAAATAACAGGCTTCCCAGGGAAACGTTTGGGTGCGATTTGAACCTGGGCGGCTTCTTTGCCACGGACTTCCCATCGCTGCTGCAACCCCCCCACCCCCACCCCACCCCATAGGTGGTAACCCCCTGCTGTTTCTCCTACCGCAGGAAGATGACGTTCGGCCGCGTTAGCGACCTGGGCCAGTTCATTCGGGAATCGGAGCCCGAGCCGGACATCAAGAAGTCCAAAGGTGAGCTACCTCTTCCTCCTCGAGAGAAGATTCCCCTGAGCGAAGGTTTCTCAGCCCTTAGCAGCAGGGGTGGGATTCGAATGGATTCACAGCCGGTTCTGTGGGCGTGGCTAGGTGGGAGTGGCCATGCGACTTGGTGGGCGTGGCTTTTTTTCTTCTTCTTCTTTGCAACATTCCACACACACACACAACCCGTTTTTGAGCCTCCTGGGGGGACGTTTTTGCTCCCAGGGGGGTTCCCTGGGGCCCAGGAAGGCAAAAAAGGGAGCACAGGGAGGGGAGCACTTTCTCTCCCCCCCCCCACCAGCCCCCTTTACCTTCTGGGCCTCAGGGAAGCCTCCTGGGCGAATCAGTAAGATAGCAAGGGGGATCTCGGCACAGCTGATCGTCGTAAACAGCTGATCGTCGGCAGGGTGTTCTGACCCACCATATCAAACGCAATCCAGAGGGAACAGAAACCGTGTAATGCTTTTGCAAAATAATTAGCTGTGATAAACACAAGGCTTGCCAAACTGTGCGAGACTTGCCAAAAGATAAGAGACAAGAAATAATTTGCAATACGAGAATCTTCAAATACAAACTCAGGATACTGGAATGTCCACGAGGCTGGAGTTTCAAAACGTCTTTGCCTTCTGCAAAGAACGTTCGTTTCACAGCTGGCTTTTATCTTCTTGAAGGAGGGGCCATTACCTTGCAGCCTTACTCCCGAGTCGCCCACGCTGTTGTAACTGCTCTTTCGTGCGAGCAGCCCTGTGCACATGAGCACTTGGCACAGGCTCCTCGGGAACCTCCTCATCGCTGCTGCCAGCCCCCACAATCTCTGAAGGCAGCAGTCCATTCCCTGATGGTCCTGGCCCCTCATCTGAGTCCTTGCTCTCCTCAGCCATCCACACTTGTTGCTGGCTAACCACAATGGGGGGGTGGGGGGAACCTTAAGGAGTGACTGGGTGGGGGAGAATGCAGTTGGCGATGTCACGCATAAGGGGAGGGATGGCCAAAGAGGCGCGGGGCTAGCCAGGGACACGATTTGCCGGTTCTCCAAGCTGCACAGAAGCATAACAACCGGTTCTATAGAACCGGTCCGAACCGGTAAAATCCCACCCCTGCTTAGTAGGTTGAAGATGGGTGGACTCCAATTCCCAGAATCCCCCGGCCAGCCTGCTTTAAGAGGGGAGGGTTTCCACTCCCAGAATCCCCCGGCCAGGATGCTTTAAGAGGGGCGGACTTCCACTCCCAGAATCCCCCGGCCAGGATGCTTTAAGAGGGGAGGGCTTCCACTCCCAGAATCCCCCGGCCAGGATGCTTTAAGAGGGGAGGACTTCTACTCCCAGAATCCCCCAGCCAGCATCCTTTAAGAGGGGAGGACTTCCACTCCCAGAATTCCCCAGCCAGCATCCTTTAAGAGGGGAGGACTTCTACTCCCAGAATCCCCCGGCCAGGATGCTTTAAGAGGGGAGGGCTTCCACTCCCAGAATCCCCCAGCCAGCCTGCTTTAAGAGGGGAGAACTTCTACTCCCAGAATCCCCCAGCCAGCATCCTTTAAGAGGGGAGGACTTCTACTCCCAGAATTCCCCAGCCAGCATCCTTTAAGAGGGGAGGACTTCTACTCCCAGAATCCTCTAGTCAGCATCCTTTAAGAGGGGAGGACTTCCACTCCCAGAATCCCCCAGCTAGTCATGTTGACTTCATAAAACCTGAAATTTCTCTGCCCTTCTTTTTCCTCTCTTCTCAGGGTCCATGTTTTCACAAGCAATGAAGAAATGGGTGCAAGGAAATACAGATGAGGTAAGGCACTCAACACTTACAGAAAAAAATATGTATTTCTTTGGTGACTTAGAGAGACCCTCCTTTGCATCTCTGGGGGGGGACAGGCAGGTTTTAGGTCAGAACAACCCAAAATTCCTCCCCAGAATAAAGAAAATGGTTGCAGAAGGAGCTCCTTTGAATACTTGGGAACTATTGATTCGGGTTGATTCATTCCTTAAGTGAGTCACGCCCAATTTTATCATCCCTTTTGGCCACGGTCGTTACATGAGACACATGGTTGTTAAGTGAATCCGGCGTTCCCCATTGAAGCCACTTGGAACGGTTGCAAATATAGTGACTCTGGGATGCTGCGACCATCGTAAATATGGGCTCCAGTTATCAAGGTCCCAAATGTGCATTACCTGATCACGCAGATGTAACGGTTGTAAGTATGAGGACTGGTAATAAGTCATGTTTTGAGGGGGCCTTAGTAACGCTGAACAGCCATTAAGCAAACAGAGGGAGGCCTCAAACTTACAACCTTTCATTTAGAGACCATCTAAAGTTACAAGGGCCCTGAAAAAAAGTGATTATGACCATTTTCCCCAGTTAATGACTTTTGCGGGATCCCCCTTGGTCACGTGATCCAAATTCAAACACTTGGCAACTGGCATGTACTTACGACGGTTTGCAGTGCCCCGGGGTCATGTCATCCCCTTTTGTGACCTTCTGATGAGCAGAGTCAGCGGAGAAGCCGGATTTATCTAACAACGGTGACCAGGAAGGTTGTAAAACGGGGCCAAACTCACTTAACAACTGTCCTCGCTTAGCAACAGAAACGTGAGGCTCAATTGTCGTAAGTCGAGAACTACCTGTACTGGAACGTAGGGGGGGTACGTCGTTTGCATAGTGGCCCATCGAATGTGGTTTGAAAATATAGTTTGGGACCCAGATGAATGGGAGGGGGAGGCGAAGGTCCTGGGGTATAGCTTTTGTGGCCGCTGGCCCCTCCCGCAGCCAAATTGGGAGGAGGGGGAGGACAGAGAGACAGACAGACTGGGCCATCCATCAAGCCTTGGTTGGAGAGTCAACAGCCCCCAGGTCTGGAGGTGGCTGATGAGGAAGAGGAGGAACAACTGGGTACAGTGATAGAAGATGCATAGAAGATGCATAGAAGGCAGAGGAGAGGAGAGCAGTGGAAATCTATGGGCCGGACCTCGGGACGGAAGAGCCGCTGCTGCTAGCGAAGCCCCTACTCAAGCTCTGGGGATAAAAGGCAGGGGGCGGAGATGAATCGATGTCATCTCCCCTACAGGACGGACTTGTTAGCCTGTGGTGAGAGAGAGAGAGAGAGAGAGAGAGAGAGAGAGAGAGAGAAACTTTTCGCCGAGGCTGCCGGCGCTGCTAATAAAGGAATTTTTGAGTTAACTTCAGAGGGTTTGTTGTGGGTCAGAACAATAGTTTTTTTTCTGCTTGCTGGTCGCAATCCCAGAATGCCCTGGCTGACGGACTCCTTCGCCCTGTTTCTAGGCTCAAGAGGAGATGGCATGGAGGATAGCCAAGATGATCGTCAACGACGTCATGCAACAGGCCCAACCCCCAGAGGCAGCGGTCGACAAGGTGACTAAGGTAATGGCTCAGGTGGCAACAGCTGGGGTGTCCAGCCTTGGCAACTTTAAGGCTTGTGGACTTCAAATCATCTGCTGGCTGGGGAATTCTGGGACTTGAAGTCCACCCATCTGAAAGCATGCTGGTTGGGGGATTCTGGGAGTGGAAGTCCACCCCTCTTAAAGCAGGCTGGCTGGGGGATTCTGGGAGTGGGAGCCCACCCCTCTTAAAGCAGGCTGGCTGGGGGATTCTGGGAGT